AGTTCTCTGCAGTTCATCGACGAGTCACTTTATCATAGAGCTCTCGTTCGTATTACTACGGCGAAGTTAGCCGTAGTTCCTCGACGAGTACCCTGTCCTAGTGAGACATCGACGCCTCAGTTAGATATAGTTAGCCGAGTTCAGTTTAGCGTTGGTCAGTAGAGAAGAAGAAACGACGATCGTGACAGTATCAAGGATCACTCTCCTCGACGACCCGCACAAACCTCGGATAAGTTTGAAATTTTATGGAGCCAGAGAGGAGAGTCTCAAGAAGTATGAGTAGACCAGGAGAAATTTAGAAGAGTTGGAGACGAGGATGTTGAAGGCCCCCCCCCCCCCCCCCCCCCCCCTCCTCCACTTCTTCTGCAGGTGCGCCAGTTTAAACTATCGCCATTGCACATCTTCCTTCAGCATTTTCGATGACCTTACATTTTTTTCAGATCACCTCACGGTTTGTTCAATCACCCTTTCGTACATCCAATACGCCCCAAAGAATATCCCAAAATAGATACAATCACAGACCCGAAAAAATCATTGTTTAGAAACTACCCCTCCCTCCCCCCTTGCTCCAGATCACATCAAAAATTGTTGGCAACACGGCGATCCCCCTCGCACAACTCGGAAATTTGGACTTAAAGGTGAGGCTCATCCCCTAACTAGGTACCCAACCAACTGACGGAATACCCATTACCACCCCTTCCCCTTGTGCCCCCATCTCCCACGCAGTACCAAACGCCCATTCTCCCAGACCGGAAGATACAGTCCACACTCCTACCCTCTCGAGCAGGTCGAAAAAGTTCGCACTCCCTCGATGGGGTATGACGAAGGTTGAAAGAGTCGAAGGTAATGGGATAGAGAGACCTGTTCCTAAACCTCGAATATGAGAAGAAGGGTGGAATGGATCTAGAGAAGCGAGATAGGCTGAAGATGTTGCGTAGTCTAGCGTGACACTGAGAATGAGCATAGATCTTAAGCCACACGTAGAAATCACACGGAGTCATACATGTTGATTCTCACAAGGAACATGAAGGGATTGAAGTAATAACACACAGATTGGAAAGGGGAAAGGGGGAGGACGAGGATGAAGAATTGTATGAGGCATAACGAGAGGCGGGAGGTAAGTGAGGAAGAGAGGAGAGGAGGATGGGTACATGGGGGGAAAAGGGGAAGAAGTGGAATATCAACTTACGGGAGTACACCCCAAATCAATAAAACTTCCATACCGATGCACCAAAGCCAAGTACCCCGACCCCAACTTTTCTTTACTACCCCAACCATGTTCCCATTCAAACTAACAACTTCCAACCATTTCCTCTGTATATCCTCCACTCTCTTCTGTGCCATATGAGATTCTTTTGCAGCTTGAGAAAGAACTTCTTGAGCTTGTTGAAGTGTTTGAGAAGGTGTCGGTAGGTTGTATTTCTGTTTATGTTTATTGATTATAGACGGTGAAGATAAAGATAAAGGGTTTAAAAGTATAGAAGTTAAACGTCGAGTAAAAGAAGTATCGACTATCTCATTCTCATCTATTTCTTCTTTCTTCAACTTGGGTGTTTGAGTAGCTCTGACATCCCCTTTCTCTTTAAAATGTGAGAATGTAACAGAAGGGGGATTTGATGATGATGTTGACCAGTTGGGTAACAGAGATCTTTTCTCAGATGAGATAGATTTGATAGGTGATTTTTTAGGTGAAATACGTATTCTATGTATACTCGTATTACCTTCATCATCATCTTCTATTACTCTCAACGTATCTTTTCGTGTTTCAGCGATGGAATCCGATGATCTTCCTTGGATATCTTGATTTGAAGATTTATCAGAATGTTTCAAATAATCGTTACGCTCCGTAAACCTAACTCCCCATGCACCGGGTGGATGAGGTGTAGGCATGGTCGAAAGGTTAGATTGATCTTTCATTGGTGTCATAGCTATCCTAACTTGTATATCTTGTGGAAAATCAGCATCGGGTCTGAGAAGATTTTGTCGATGTTGTATAACGTCATGAAGTGTAGTTTCAGACTTCCCATAGTCGCGCGAAGGGTTCCAATTTGCATACTTGTGGTTTTCACTTTGAGAAGATTGATGAGGATGAGGTATGTTTTGAGATGGGGAGGTCTTCGAAAGATGAGGATTTCGTGGGGGTGATTTCGTTTCCTGTGGAGCGGAAGGAGTTTGAGTTTGGGTTGATCTGAACAAAGTGGCTCTACGGGATACTAATGCTTCTTCTCGATTTGCCTCTCTATCATCTTCACTTTCTGCTTCGGGAGGAGGAGGAAGACTGATATCTCCTACATCGACACTTTGTCTTGAGTTTCGAGATGGGTTGAGTTCTGACTTACGGGGAGAATGTCGTGGGATGGTCGTAAGTCGAGGTCGGGCGGTTCTATCACCTTCTGTCCCTAGTCCGATATCAGGATGAAATTCATCCTCAAGATATTCTTCGTGCTGCTCAAAATTGACTCTGCTACCACCAGACCGATCGGATGTGTTGCGGTGACCGACTGTTGGACGTGCGTCCGAATGCGTAGACAGGGTTTGACGATGAGGATGATTTTCTTGGTGTGGTCCATCAAAATTCGTATATCTGGATGACTCCGTATCACTAGATCCAGGATCCCAAGGGGGTTCACCGTCTTCTTCCAAATCCACTTCTTGCCGAACTTCCAAAGAACCTGCTTCAACTTCAAACTGAGCAGAGTTCTCGGGTGGGAGGTCTACACTGTGTTTACGGGGTGTATGACTTCTACGTGGGAGTTGTTCATTCAACGAGACACTGATTCGAGGGGTATGACCCCTCCGAGGAACATCTTCTGGTGGGCTTGGGGGTCGAGGGGTGCGACTTCTTCGTGGGATATTATCATCTTTGAAAGAGTTTGAGGTCGTACGAGAGGGATTATCTCTTTTAGGTATCTCATCACTAGTAGGGTTTTGCCCAGCTAAGGGGGTTCTTACACGTCTTCGAGGGTGGTCCGTTGAGCTAGAAGATGATTGCCGTATATGCGATGTATGGGGTTCGATAGATAAACTGGGCTCTCGTTTTGGTCGACGAAGGAGACGTCTAGATGTAGGATCTTGATTAGAAATCGGAAGACCAGTAGAAGCATTGGCAGATGTTGAGGCGGAGACAGAAGTGGAAGTAGATACCGACCTACTCATATTGGAAGATGATGTAGCCACTGGAGTTGGTTCGAATGAAGATATTCGTTGTTTTCCTTTTCGTGATGAAGATGAATTAGGTGATTGGGAGGAAGGTGGATCAAGTAGACGTGGAGGGGAAGGGTGATTGGCTATGAAGTTTTCTAGTGCTGAATGTCTTGGAGGTGGAGTGGGAGGTTTAGATGTGCCTAGATATCAGCTGGCCCTTCATCGTGAAATTCCTCTCGGGACATGGTGATGTCGCATGGAGGTTGGAATGGGTTTTGACCAAAGACTGATGGAGGTGGGAGGGTCTCATTGGGTGAACATAATGGTTGGTTTCAGATTTGAAACCGGAATGAGAACATAAAGTGCGGATAAGTTACACGATGTACTCACTCGCTTGCAATACAGCTGCTCTCGAAGGGATCCTCCCTTGATTTCCTTGAGACGGAGGAGTACCCTTCCTCTCGTTCGACACTCTCCTAGGATTCAAATAAGGATTGATAATCCTCGGTGGTGGAGTAGGTGGAGATTCCTCACTTCTTTCATCTGCCATTTCCATCTCCATCTCCATTTCCATATCATCCTCTCCAAACCCTAAACTCTCCTCCCTTCTCTCCCCACTTGGTCTTCTCATTCGAGACTGTGCTTGTGCTTGCTCTTCCTCTTCTCGCTCACGTTCCATCTCCCTCTCCAAATCTTGATGTCTTTCCTTTGGTAAACCTCTCCTCGCTCTCCATCCTTGTCCATGACTGAGATTTCCATTTACTATCTGACCTTGATATTCCTTAGGTGTGGAAGTTCTCTCTGGTAAACCTATTCCTCTTCCTAATCCAGATCCTGAACTTTCTCCATGTTCATCTATATCTTCAATCCTATCCGATTGACCGGATATTCTTCGATTTTGTATACTCGTCAACGGTCTGGCTTCTTCAACAGCTTGATCCATTTTCCTCAATAACAATTGTAATCTTTCGTTTAAAGACATTTCTTTCCCATTATCTCCTTGTTCTCTCTCTAATCTTCTTCCTTCTCCAAAATTTGAACGTTCATCTAAATCAATCAACGGTGGATCTAGATCATAATCCATTTCCTTGACTTGATCGAATTTTAGATTATATTCAGGCATTTCAGTCTCTCCTTCAGACCATAAAGTACTCGTCCTTGTGCTCGGTCTAGAAAGAGGCATATCTGACCAAACTGAACCGATCAAAGAAGGTGTGGTAGATGTTAATATCGATGAAGTTGAAGTTGAAGCAAGTCGGGGGCGGGGAGCGTACATTTCCTATTCCTTCCTCTTAAAATTTGTCTCTTTTTCTCCCGTCCACTTTGAACGATCCTCTTGATGATGGTAGGGGTGTATGACTCTGATGATACAGGGTAGGCAGTTTGGTATGGTTATCGCATGATTGGGTATAAAGTATAGCAAAAGAAAGAGCATACAAGATGTTTGAAGATGAAAATGATGGTGAAAAGTGGGGTAAGGTTATGTAAAGTTGTAAACGACGCGCCCCCACCCACCCACGCGACGCAAACATCCTTAAATCACACGTCATTCGTTGAGCTTTCCTTATCAGAGTTTTTACTACTGCATTTACTTATCCTATCCTAATCTGATTAGAAAACTTTTACTAATCCGAAGCCATTCAAAAAATTCTCTCCGTCTGACTGTCAGCAACTCCTCACACGATCACAACCTATCAGTGTGTTAGTCATGACGGCGCAAGTGTCACAAGAACAACTGGAAGTATTGAGGGATACGTTGCTCAACACAGCTGGGGATGTACCTCTTCATGCTAGATTTAGAGCTTTATTCATGCTCAAAGCTGTTGGGGGAGAACAAGTGGTGGGTATCATAGCTGACGGTGAGTGATTCTCATCAACTTCTTTCAGAAGCATCATGCCATTTTCTCGCTAATCTATAGGTCTCAAAGACCCTTCATCTTTGATCAAACATGAACTCGCATACGTTCTCGGACAAATGGGTCATCCATCCGCTATACCCATATTAGAACAAGTTTTGATCAACCCCGAAGGAAAACATTGTCCAATGGTGAGACACGAAGCTGCCGAAGCTCTTGGGGCTTCATCCAGTCAAGGTAGTTTATCGTTATTGAGAGAATATCTGGATGATCCAGCTAGAGAAGTGAGGGAAACTTGTGAGATTGCCATTTGTAAGATTGAGTGGGATATGAGTGAAGAGGGTAAGAAGAAGGAGAAGAAGTGAGTTAAAGTTTGATCCTTCACATTCCTTCCCTCGTGATATGACCCTCACCAATTTATATCATTTGATTACCCCAATTCCTCAGACACTCGTCATTATTTGGATTATGATATGAGCTGTTATCTCTATCTCTGAGTGATCTTTAGGAAGTCCTCCAAATCTCGTAGCGCTACGTCGAGTATGTTTCCAGGTAAAATTTACGACTAACTCTCAGTCCCGACTTTCCAACTATCGATCCTGCACCTGCCAAACCCAATCAGTCAATACAAGAATTACGGACAGATCTGCTCAACACCGAACTTCCTTTGTTTGAGAGATATAGAGCCATGTTCGCTTTGAGAGATTTTGGTGCTGGTGATAAAGTTGCCGTGGAAGCATTGGCAGATGGATTTAACGATGGTAGTGCTTTATTCCGGTATGTATTAAATCCTCCCTTTTGTCTCATCTCTCTTCTCCTCCTTGTTCTCCCTTTTCGTCACTCTCTCATCCATGACCACACTCTTTCATCACCATACCTTCTACACCCTCAAGAAAGTTCTTTCCCATCTTTTCTCACTTCATCTCTTTTATACCCCTTCATCCTTCTTACCAAATACATCCCCCCAACACCAAACGCTCCATCTCATCCTACTGAAACATCATTTGTGGCAAAGAAATCCCCATCTCCAATCATATGATAAACCAGACGTACTGGTCGATCGCTCCACGGTCTCCCAAAGTGTCTATAGCTCAGGGCAAATGCCCAGCCACATTCTTCCCCATGAGTCGAGTATACGAAGAATAATGAGAAATATTCATCGGATATACGAAGAATAATGAAATATTCATCGAGTATACAAAGAATAATGAGATATTCCTCGAAAATACAAAGAAACAATGAAATATCCCACGAACGCGGTATTGACAATAGCCACGAAATAGCATACATATTCGGACAATTATGTTCCCCATATTCGATCCCTTCCCTACTTTCACGACTCCGAGATCCAAAAGAAGAAGAAATGGTAAGACACGAAGCTGCCGAAGCGTTAGGTGGTATAGCTTCTGATGGTGTTGAAAACGAAGAATCACCATCAGAAAGAAGTGTTTTAGATATATTAAAAGAATGGGCTGTAAAGGAAGATGCACCGGTTGTCGTTAGGGAAAGTTGTCAAGTCGCTATTGATATGTGGGAGGTGAGTTTCTTTTTTCTTTCATATTTTCAATATAAAATCATGAAGATCAATCTTTCACAATATCTCCTTTGTATCACAAGTTTATCGATCTGGATCTGAGGCATCGACGGATGATTGGAATGTAATAGCACTATGACACTTTTGCAAAATAGTCACAGGAACAGTACGAATACTCTACCAATCCTTCACTTGACATCATCGAGAGCTACGAGATCTGAATATTCTTCGAATTTGATCATACCTTACATCCAACATCATCGTCTTGCGCGATAGTTATCCTTTGATATGGATATGAGATTGTTGGGGATGTATAACTGATCAACGTCAGTACGAAAATTCAAATGAACAATTCAACCCTCTGGATCTCAAAGTTGCTACGACAGGGATGGAAAGGTCTGCTCATATTGCCGTCACTGCCGGTTTAACTTCATAATCTCCTCATCTTCCCCTAAATCACCATTCCCCTCTTTCAACAAACACCAAGCTCGGAGTTGTGTCATAGATCATCACATTAGCATCACAATGAATCATGCATATATACCTTTTGTTCAACTTCCTCAACTTCTATTCTCCCTACTACACCATCGCTACCTCACATCAACGATATCTTCCCTACACTACTGCCAGGACCTTTGACATGTAGAGCGTTCTTTCAGATTCCCGTATTGTTTCTCCTTCATACTCATCTTTGACATCTAGCGAATCTCCCACTCCATCGTCTCATCTCCTGATCGATTCGTGAATGATGGAACTACAAAGATTTCACTTCCTCTACAAGATCTACCAACCTTTTCTCTCCTTTAATCTTCGCTTTCTCATCCAGACTACCTAGCGCCCCAGCTAGTTGATCTCGTATATGTTGGGATACCGAAGAGGTTAAGACATTACCTAAAGCCACACCTGATCGATAAAGAACTTCAGAGTCTTCCGACTCTGAGAGGAGAATGTATGATATCAATGAGATGAGAGGTTCAGTAGGTATTGAAGAAGACAGGGAGAGGATTGAGTAACTAAAATAATCAGCAACTGCATGACTCTGTCCTGAGTCCAACGTCGCTATCTGGACAAGACCTGTTCCGCCCGCCTGATCATCTAGGTCTCGTCGATATTTGGATGAGACAGTGAGAAAGGGCTACTCTCAGGGGGTGAGTGAGTGGGTAGGTGTGGAAAACCTTTTCTATGAGACCATTCCCCTTTCCAGTAGATATCTCACGTCCCAAGCTAATAGATGAATTGTATTTCTCCCAATACCAGAGACGTGACGAGGCAGACTGAAGGGGAAAAAATGACCCACTTCAAAGCGATAGTAGCCAAAGGTAATTTCCTATTACCTACTTCTTCCCACTTTCTCTCTCTCAACTTTCCCAATATCTCCTCGGCATCTTTCACCAACGACGCTCTCCCATTGGCCGTATTGAACATATTGGCGATTCCTCTGAGAGATAAGAGAGTGTTGGTTTCGCGAGATTTGACACTTTGCCATGGATCTGACCAGGCACAAGCGGTAAGGAAGGTGGAAGGGGGTATATGACCGAAGATTGGGGATACGGCAGCTAAACAACGGGCGATGTCGATGACTGTTGATCAGTTCTGTGGTTCATTCGCATGCAGCGTCATCCTTGAAATCTTAATCCAAGACTCTTAAGTGGTCTTTCTCAAGTGAGAGGAAGGAGAAGAGAGTGACCGGAACGGATAGTAGGATTGCGAGTGACTGGTGTAAATTGAATGTGGACGGTGGGTGAGGTGAACAGGGAGAACAGCGGTATGTGGGAGGAGAGGAATGTTGAGGAGCCGATAGAGTTGAGAAAGTTGATCAAATAGTCATTGAAGGAAGGAGGAGAGAAGAAGAGTAATGGTGGAAGAAAAACACACGAGGAAACCGCAAATCCTCTGGCCAACGCATCATCAACTCCACATAAGCTTTCGGAACGTATCTCTCCCCTGGATCACTAGCTTGAGGATCTGGTAAAGCGACACTGGGTAGACTCAACAATGCAAAGACCTCATTGAGGTTTCTTTGATCTGCTTCGGTGAACACTAGCTCTGGCTAGATATGTCAGCTCAATCAGATCTCACAAATGAAATGTTCAAGTGACTTCGAAGAGGTCGACCTCTACTCCAGCCGTCATCGAAATTAAAAGGAACACCCACTCTGCTCTTTTTCAGTTCCTCATTCAACTGACTCAACTTTGTCTTCGCTGCACTAGGGTTCATCTGCTTAAAAGACAAGTACGTCGTGACCGGCAGAATACCCTTGGACTTTTTCGTCGTTGCAGTACTTGGAGTGGTGGAATACGCCGAGCCACCTGTAAACGGATCTCCACCTCCTGTAGATGACCCAGAGGTGGAGGACGACCCAGTATACCGCGAAGAACCGGTGTAAGGGTCTACATAGCTTGTCGAGGGCTCGTTACCCGTACCGAGTTGAACTCCGGCGGTGTTCTTTTCAATAAACTGGACGACTTGGTCCGCGTAGGTCATGGGTAATTCATGTTTGCCTAAGAAGCGCTGGGCTGCCATCCATGGGTTTTCTAAAATCAGTGAATGTACAAAGCTGAATGTAGTGTACAATTGCTGATTTGGTTTCTTCTTCAGGCATTACCTGTCCCGATACCAACAATCCCGCTGCCACCTAACAGGAGATGATGGCGAGTGGACAAGGAGACGAGAAGATGTCGTGACACGATAATGAATAGGTATAATGGATGAAAACAACCCACCTGAAGCATTGTAGGGTAGTTTGAGCGGCGGCATGCCCTCCGACACGTCCACATCAAAGACATAATCGTATTCTTTCCCCTCGTACAGTTGTTTTCGTCCTGATCCAATAGCGTCGACGACCTGGCCGATCTGCTGCCATGTCGAAGTCGCCGCCTGCCATTGGTATGCCTCAACAACGTCGTTGTTTTTGATCATCAATACTTGGCCGTCTTTTTTTCCTGCAACAGTCAGCCCTTCCCCAATTCTACAAGCGTCGACAATGAATTATGGAGGATGCCGTAACCCACCTTCTCTGCCCAGTGCTTCGATTCCGGGTAAATCTGAACGTTTTACGTCTCCAACTTGACTTTTATCCAATTGTCTTCCTCCAACTTCTTTATCGAACGCATCTCTTTCCGCTTGGGGCGCTTTCAGAGCCTCTACCTTTATGAAGAAACGTATAGTCGTATCGTTTGCCGCTGAAGCGATGTATACATCGCCAGTTGGACCTGATACCACGGCACATGACCATAGGGAGTTGCAGGGATGAGCGATAGTCTGTACTAACTCGGTATCTGCTCATAAATGCCTGCTCCCTCAAGACAACACTGCAGTACTGCGGGTAAATGAATGGCGGGGAAGAGAAAACAAGGTTGGAAATATCAAGAAGTGGTTAAACATACCTGACCAGACTCTCAATGTCCCATCCTCCCCTGCGCTTATGGCACCTCCTCCTGGAAGAGCACTAACAGAATAAACAAACGAAGTATGACCTGACAATGACCGCACCGGTGCTGGTCGGTCGAATGTATAGAAGTTGACCAAAGAATCATTGGCGCAACTCCAAAAGCCTTTCCCACCAGGACTGATGCTCAACCCTCTTACAGGGGCCGTATGACCTGTAAATGTCTGCAAAGGGAAGGAAGTACCGTTGGTCACATCGATGGAATGTAGTATGATGCTCTTGTCAGCCGCACCTGACCCGTCAGCTATTGCCTTCTTCTTGACATACAAAGAGAGGACGGACCAGTGAGAAGACGATCTTCGCCTACAAATTTGATCGACCACACAGATTGGGTATGATTCTCTATCTTGACGACTTTCTTGAAATCTTTCCAAACCACAGCCGTTCTCACAAGTCAGCTGACACAACTCAAGATGCACGTGGGCTCACTGGTCCCAGCTACCAGTAGCGATCAAACCCCCTGGACTTGTATCCATACTACAAAGATTCTGCTTGTGTTCAATCAAGAGATGATATGGTTCTGGTAGGGCGTCACCAGGTGGAGGAGGTGTGGTGGCGGAAGGTAAAATGTAAGTGGATAAAATCCCACTGGACGAGCCGACTAAGAGGAATGCTAACGATCAGCCGGAACGACAGCGAGGGCACTGGGAGTCTTACCTTCTCCTTGGTATTTTACCATACCCACACAGCTGACATATTTCTGTTCAGGTGCTTCCACTCGGAGTTTAACATCCCATTCCTTGCCGCTGGCTGAGGGACCCCATAAGATGGCAGAGCCGTCTCTGGACCCGCTGAGGAGTAATGGGACACCAGGGGATGGTGCGTGTATACAGCGGACGTCTGAAGAATGTCCGTGGAGCGAGAATGCTAGCTGATAAGGAGATGCCATTGTGATAATTAGGGTGGAGAAGCAGAGAAAGAAGAAGGGTGGGGTAAGGGTAAAGTTGAAGAGTTCAAGAGAACGTCAGCGTGCAGGAGGGGAGGATGGGATCACGTGACATCCACCCGGGTGCTGCGGGGCTCCCACAAACCTTACCCCACCAGGTTTCAAATCTTGGCAGTGTTGCAATATCTTAACAACCAAAACACTGGGCAAAAACACGCAGAGTAACTACAAGCAGGCCATACAAGGTCACGATTACAGATCAGATACCGAGCGAGAAGGAAAGATCTCTGACGGATAACGAGGACCCACCATGCTAGACTTGCTTACCCCTCAAGCATTGGCGACAGGTGAGTATCCCACCTCAATCATACGTTGATCGTCAGTCGGCCCCTTACTACTCGAGACCTTTCTCAAGCATTATCTGGCCCCTTCCAGGGTCAAAAACAAAGCTAGGGAAGATGATATCTTATATGACGAAGGTGCGTTCTTCACTTTTGAGTGGCTGGTTCATTGCTAAACCTCTTACCAGCTTTTGTTTTGATCAAAGTACGTTTGATCCCCTCATCAATCTCATCTCCTCTAGGACCCGATTGTGAACAAAGACTGATATATAGACTTTCCTGGAAATATCCACTCATCATCCCGTCCCCGCACTTCAAAGATTCGGCCTGGTCCGTACTCCATCACCACCGTGGATAGCAGTACATCGTGTCCTCATCCCCGACCAATGTCTTCAACAATCAGCACAAAACCTCATTACGGCCTTTGGAGGTGAACATATGGCGTACAAGATTGCAGGAGGTAGTAAATGGTGGCAAGTACGTGCTGGACCCGGTGTTCAAGCAGAGTGGATCGTCATGAAGAAAGATTGGAAAGAATTAAGGGAACAAGAGAAGAAAGAACAGTCTGCACAATATGCAGCTCGCAAAGCGGGATTATTGATGACGGATGAAAGTGGGTCGAGTGATGGTGGGGAATGTGAGTGATTCATGGTCTGATCTTATGGTTTGATAATGACGATAGTCCGGAAAGAGATGGACGAGTTGAGATGTATGCTTTACAGTCAGTAGTTTTTGTTCCTTTGTCTGCTTGAAGATCGGCTGATGAGATAGTCCATGGTGGAGCGTAAGCTGATTCATGGTATTGCGAAGCGCTAACTTACATGATAGGTATTATTGGGGATCTATCAATACCTATCGGTATACGATTTGGCGATACGCTCGAAAGATGCACGGAAGATGTTTCGCCGTAAATTACAGAAGTCAGTTTTTGTTTCACGTCCCTCCCCTCTGCTGGTAGTCGCTCAGCACGTATACATCCTTTCGTCCCTAGGCGAGATAGACGATCAACAAGCTAATCTCTCAGAAGCTCCGCAATATCCATTCCCATGTGCCATACAAGATTGCCTCGCAGCTTATCTCTATCTCATCAACCCACCCCCGGGAGCAAAACACAAACCTGTAGATCCGAAGAACATGGTCATCGCTGGTGATTCAGCCGGTGGGGGATTAGTCTTGGCTCTTTTGCAAATCTTGAGAGACACTCCCGGTTTACCACTCCCCGCGGGGGCTGTTTTGATTAGTCCGGTCAGTATTTTCCCAACTCACGCCTATGGTGAGCAACGACGCTGACGCCTAGTGGAGCGATCTGACACATTCGTTTCCGTCAATCTTAGAGAATACGGCAACGGCGAGTCCAATCCTCCTCAACCTTCAATCTCCCCCAATATCATATAAGCTACATATTGTAAATAAGCTGATAGATATAGGATATCGTGCCGCCTTATTCATTCATACACGTGAGTGCTGATCAACGTACACGATTTTTAATCTCACCTACCAGAAACCTTCATCCTTATGGCCTCCACCTCCTCCCGACCTTACGGCCGACGTTCAATCCCGTCTTCGAACTCGTATACAAGAAGCAGTCCATCGTCTCCGACACGACTCTCATCCCTCCACTCAAACCTCTTCTTCTTTGTCACCTGATGCTGTTCCTAGCGGTAAAATGGATACTCAAGAATTGGTCAAAGGTAAAACCCACTCCAACACACCTGATAAGACAGAGATCCGAGCGTCTGAACCGGAGAAGACCTCTTCGCTGCCACATACTGAAGTAGGTATGATGAGGGAAAACGAACATCCTTCCCCCCAAGGAGAATCATCACATCATCCTTCACGTGCTAATCCTGCGGTGATGTTTCAACATCTTCAAGATATTGACAAATCCGATAAAACGCCTACTAGATTAACCACACTGGCCCAATGTCATGAGCCTTTGAATATGAATGTTGAAGGGAAAGAAGTAAAGTTGGATACACAAATACAAATGTACGCTACGAATGCACAATTGTGTCATCCTTGGGTATCACCGGTCTTGGGGTATATGGGGGGTTTACCGCCGCTTTATATCTGTTGTGGACAGAATGAAGTATTGAGAGATGAGATTATTTATCTGTGAGTTGTTTTTGTTCACCACTAGTCTTTGCCCTTCCTTCTTTCTGCAATGACACAATGATTCCCATTTTCGTTGGAGTAGCTTGAGAAAAGGTTGATACGTACTCTTTTATGCCTGTCCTTCACAGATGATGATGTGTTACTCAATTTGAGGCCGGGTCAATTACGAACATATCAAGGGGAAAGACGAAACTCAAAGAAGTCAGGCTAACCTCAGTGCACACAAAGCTGCTAACCCTTCTGCCTACCCAATCCGTCCTGACGTCCGTGCAATGGTTCCATCTTTGATCGATATCGAGTCGAAACATCCCCCCACAAACGTCCATTTACAAGTCTACGATGGTGCATGCCACGATCTTCCGTTATTCAGTATGACGAAATCCGCTCGAGGTGTTTTCCGTGCGATCGCTTCGTTTTGTCGTTTTTGCACTCCTTCAGCACCTGGATCTTTGAACGTTACCCAGGAAGAACTATCTCAACATCAATCAGGTCAGACAACTCCAATAGCTTCAGAAATGTCTGGGACTTCTTCTCGGAACCATACAAGACCTTCATCCCATCATTCATCTTCCTCTTCCCTGCATGAAGACTCTCGGATAAATTCATCTCCAATTCATATCAACACCGAACCGTCAACTGAAGATTCCCGTTTGCCCTCCGCTCTTCCTTCGTCGATAATGACTCCGACTATAGTATCCACACCTACTACCTTCTCTCCCATCGATTCGACCGACTTTCCCGCCCGCTCAACCCCACATAACTCAGACTCCCCGTTCAAACATAATAACATCTTCCGTAATCTCACACATCGTACTCGTCCCTTCATGTCTCAACCAAACTCCAAAGAGCCTTACTTCGGTGGGCAGAATAACGACCCGATGCAACTGCCCACGAAGCAGCCTCCGAAAGTAGTCTCGGGAGATGACGCCGGTCCGCGGTTCGACCACGACAGATCGTATCAATCGGACTCTAAGGCATTACCAGGTACAGCAGGACATCCTTCCATTTACTCCGGTCCTGTTCCATTCGGCGAGATTCATATGATACGAGAAAGAGTTACCACAACAGGGGTGTGTCGACCTTTGGAATCTCCCTCGGAATTAGGAGCTTTGACTATGCCAGAGGATGAAATAGGTATGTTGAAAGAAGGTCCTGTGATGAGGTTCTTGAATGGCCAAGCATTATGGGATAAGAGATATAAGAGGACCATTAGAAAAGTGGCTAAAACGAGGAAGAGGAATTTAGAATTGGCAAAGAATAAAGATGCGGGAAAACTTGGTAGGGTATGGCAGGAGAAGTTGAGAATTGCCAGTGGGAAGGTGAGCAAGTCGAGTCGACGAGGGAAAGAGTCTAGAGGAAGAAAGGCAGGTGAGTTTAAGAGGGAAATTGATGTTAGACCTGGAGATAAAACGGTGAATGAAGGTCTGCAGTCAAGGCTGGGTCCACCGGCCGATAGGGTCAATGTGGAGGGACCACAGGAAGTTGATGGTATAGAAGGATCTTTGGGAAGTGTATCGGGAGAACAAGATCATTCAGATGGAGAAACCAGTGAAGAAGAAGATGGATGGAAAGATGAATTGTTGGATAAGAGTTGGAGTTGGAAATGGGCTTTGGAAGGGGAAGCTCCTCCACCCAGCGCAATAGTTTCAAGAAGGGATTTTGTGAGTCAATCAAATGTCTTCTCTATCTTTCAAGCTCTTCTTTTCTACCTCGCATTTCCATGCTGTTCCTCCTAGCTCTTATTCTTCTTTCTCCAAATCTCTATTTTCGTTACCGCCACTTATCTTGACACTCCATTCGAGGTGGCATGTTCGGTAACGGTGATTCGTCCTAGGAGCAGCAGGAGCACCTATCATGTCGGTCAACAAGGCAAAGCTGATCTTTAGGGAGAAGCCCGTTCTCTAGCTCTGATGGCAGACCGAATGGAAACTTCTCAATCGGGGTTGAACGGTCTTTCCATCTGGGTCGGGCTAGCTTCTTTCTTCTCTTCATCAAGCGAGAGGGGTAAAACTGCGGAAAACCTGAAATTGGCAAGGGAGTCAATGCAAGAAGACAAGAAGAAGTCTATACAACGTAGGAGAAGTAGTCAATATGAACTTCGATCTCCTATCAAACAAAGGTCCACCTTGGCTGATGAGGCTGTCGTTCACCCGAGGTCAAGATCAAGGTCCCCTGAGAAGAGGGTAGAGGAGAGGTCTGATCGATCGCGTTCTGCGGGAAAGAGGAGGTTGTCTTTGAACTTGAGATTGGGACGGTCGAGATCTTTACGAAACACGCCTGAGAGTGTAGGAGAGGAGGATAAAGAGTCGGGCAGAACGGATGATGTGCAAGATACCTCACCTGCTAGAGATAAGGGGGAGAATGAAGTTTCCAAAGGCCCGGAGTCTGGATCGATAATCGATATTGTGGATGGTAGTGAAGGAACGGGTCGTCAAGGCGTTATGCAGATGGAAGGAGGTCCCACTACTAGTAACTCCCCAGGTCATAATGTGGTCCTAGGCAAGCCTATCACCTTATCGAGCTCCCTTGACACCTCTCCGTCAGCCGACAACGAGGTCGACAATCGAGAATTTACCATTCGTACCTCTGGGAAGAATCCTCACTTCGAAACACCTGAAGTTCATCCCAAAACCAACTCGGATGATGAAACACGCCTTAGTCCCTCTTTGCCCACGCCAGCGGTCACAAAGAACACCGATGGGATTCCACTGTCATCCGAAACTGCAGGACCCGGTGATCTCCCTTTGACAGAGGAGAATTTTGAGCAGCAAGAAGAACAAGCTCGATCAAGTGAGACCATCCAGACGCCGCTTACACTAAAAGGCCAGGGAGGAAGTACGCCTCCAACTTTAGTAGGATCTCACCTCAAAGAGGGGAATGTGACACCGCCTTTGGAGACGCAGGTGGATGAGGGTCCGTCTGAGAGGATCAAACCCGGTGAGATGGGGAGAGAGGGGGGATTGAAAAGGGTTTGGAAGAAAGTCAGTTCGGTGTTGCGGACGAGAAAAGGATAGATAGAGTGGATGTATCTGATATCTTTTTGACAATTTTCAATACGCATATATTGACATTGAATAGTAAATGACCAATGACATACGTATTGCGGGTTGGAAATTATTGGGGGCCAATTGCGAAGTATGACCCAGCCGTACACTTCTAAACAGACGAGGGAGCAGTGGGCTTGTGATGGATGGTAATGGTTAGGAAACAATTACACACCAATTGTCAGCTCTGAGGTGAAGAATGAAGTAGGGAAAGGATGGTGGTTATACTCACGTTGACATGATTCTCCTTCTTACCATTCTGTCCCTTAAGTTTCCCACTACTCTTTCTCATGTTTCCAATTGGCCCTAGGTGCATACTATACCTAGCTTGAAGGGTTTGTAGCACGTGAACTTGTTGAACAGTGAGTGACTTAGTTATGGTATCAAAGACAACGCACGGTATGTTCTGTGCGTACAGTGACGAAATGCCACACTGCCACATTCCTCCTTTCCCTCCTCCCCCAACCTCTCTACTCCTCCTTCCACCGCCACCCATACTACTTCTCTATAGAGTATCACCCCCTCTGCTACCTCAGTACACAACGAGGGAACACTAAAGTCTATCTCTACTTGTTCTTCGAGACTTTTGTATGGTGTAAGAATACAGGTAAAGGTAGAGGAATCATGTCTAAACTCACGACCTCTTCTAAGAATGTGGATTGGTCAATGGATGAAAGAAAGCTCATGTCTGCTTATGGTCAGTCCTTTTCCTTCTCCTATTCAACAACTCCTTACCTTTATCTATTCTATTCATCGCTATTCTATCTCATTATCAATATCCCTTGTCGATTCTCACATCACATGAAATATCTGTTCCTCCACATACCTCCATCGCAACCTATTTTCGAGATCATGCCTGGAGCAGGAAGCTCTCTTTCCCCTCGTCACCCTCTACATCACACAGAAGTACTGTGGAGTAGTACTCTCAATGTCATGTTATGATTCTGAGGACTGAACGGTATCTCTCATGGCGAGATTGTGAAGCTTTCAGGAAGGGACAATCCGACCTAACGACCAGAGGACATCTCCGAAAACCGTCTGAAATCAGCCGATACAACTATAACCCGTTGGCTCAAGAAACATCCGAAATCTCAACCTGCTCTAGTCCTCAGAGCTTCTATACTACAAAGAGCTGGAGAAACGGAGGAGATGGTGGTGGCTGCTATTCAAGAAGTCAGAGGGACGGGAAGGTTGACAGAAAGAAGTTTGGCTTGGATAGGTATGACATGTAAGAATATCGGTAGGAGTTAGTTTTTTTTTCTTTCTTCCCTCTTCTTTTCACCCTTCATCATCCTCTCGTTCTAAGGTATCATGACACGAGTCTATGTCAGTTTTGTCTTGCCTTCCTTTCGCTTTCCCGATAGCTTGTCTTACCTCACATTCCAACGCGAGGCTCGTTATGAAATGGGAAAATGGAATTCGTTGCTCTATCTAATATGGAATGGAAATCTTTACTCTATCGGGGATGGAATGTGAACTTTAATTACCAAAAATGTAAGATAAGGGGAACATTAGTATCATCTTTGATTATCCCCTTCCCTATGGGGACAATGTGGACATGAGATTTCTCTTCAATCGGAAAATGTTAGAGGTAAGATTGACCCTTAGTCGACATCGCTCTCACCATCCTCGAAGAAGCATGGACAGAAAATCCCGATTCTGAAGAGATAGGCGATCAATTGTTCCTTACTTCTATAGCGGCAAATGACAAGATGCGCATGATCAGCAGTAGTAAGAAGATGTATCAAAAGACTAGGAATAAAATTTGGGCTAGGGTGACGGCTTATTGTGAATGGGCAACTGTGAGTGATATTACCTCCGTTTCTCTAATAAATCTGATCTATTCTTGGTCCCTTTCGGTGTTGAACAGGAAACCAGCTGGTGTATCTCAAAGTCATACCTATATTCCTCTCCGCTGATATCTCAGAAATCCCCAGCACCATCGACCACCGAAACTTTCCCCTTACAAAAGTCATTCGAAAACCTCAAATTCGCAAACCTCCTCTTTGAAACCACACTCGACTCAGCTACCACCACAGATCACCTTTGGCTCCGTCTACAGATCCTCTTGGCATGCGGGGAGGAACAAAAGGCATGGCAGACGGTCAAATTCATCACTAATGGTAGTTTGAACAGACTTTGGTGGAGGATGGAAGCTTGTAAAGTCATCGCTAAGAGATTACAAACCCCAGGAACGAGTTGGGGTTGGGAGACAGAGTTTTGGGAGTGGGAGATGAGCTGGACTGAAGGTAGATTATTCGAACCTGTTGCGTGGGTATCTCTTTGTTCTTTATTTTACATCTACGTGAATGCGTTTGGTCACCATGGACACTTTGACTGATAGACAGACAACGAAATTACGCTTTTTACGATTATTATCTTCTCGTCTCATCTCATCTATCTCAATCGGATCCCGATGCGACACAACGAGCAATCGTATTTTTGGACAGCTTAAACACGCAGATCGGAACGTCCGAAAGATCACCCTCTCTTGCCCGACTCAAACTTGAACAAGCACTCCTGAAGAAGAAAGATCCACTGGCTTTAGATACCAAAGCTTGGACCGTACTCATTCAGCAATACCTGGGACGGTTTGGTGATAAAGGATCCATCCTCACCGAGCTGGATTGGATAACGGATATCGATACTCCTGCTCCTGATCCGGAACGACTCACCGCCGTCCAGGATGTGCTACGGGGACGAATAGAAGCGAAGTTTGTGAGTGCCTCTCTCTTACTTGATTTAAAGTTGTCGACCGAGGATCCAAGAGGTGGAACGTGAGATGACAAATTGGAGCTGACGCATAGCTCGATCAAAAAACATACCTCGAATTTGCGCATGCTCATATTTCTTTGATACGATACAAATCTGCTATCTGGGTACCGACATTGAAAGAGATTGAAGAATGCTGGGAGGTTTACATGAGTGGAAGGCAGTTTAGTGAGTTGTTTCTTTTACCCGTATTCTCATCCCCTATACCGTTACTGTCATGGAGAGATATGTTCGGCAAGGGTCTTGTCACAGTCATGTGCTTGCGGAGATGATCCATGCAGACATAGACGAGCTCGAACAACAGTTGATGAACAGCCGCCAATATGCACAAATCAGACGTTGGCCCAAATGTCACAATCGGCCTAGCCGTCGTTCATGTCTTATTGGAACTTTGGCACTTGGATCGAAACGACCAAGCTTTGTTGACGGCGGTATTGTGCGCTGCTATCGTCTCGAGAGATAATCTGGCTTCGGGAGAGGTCAATTTTTTGTTGGTGAGGTTGTATCGTTTGCTCGGTGAGTGTTCCGATCCTCATCTTTTATGTCCCGTCTCCACTCTTTGGCTCATGATCAACCTCACTCTTCCCCTTCCCAGCTCATGGACTCATTTCCTCTCGTCTGGCTTTCTTCCTTTACACTCACACCCCAAGAAGATCGTAGCTTGGTGTGTAACTCAGTGTATAAGATGGGAAAGTTGTGGAAAGATGAATTGCATTGACCCTTGAGAGTTGATGAGGGAGAGGATCAGCTCATACTGACGTAAAGGCGCACCGGGCTCTGCCATACCTCCTCTAGATACTTTGGAACTTCGAGATGTTCAGCTAGACACGGTCTTACACGTGCTCGTGGATAGAGGGGGGTTTGAAGCGCTCATAGGGGGATATACTGGAGATATGGTGAAGGTTTTAAAAGAGAGGGAGAATACATTACGGCGATCAGAGAGAGACGTGAGTGGAGTTTCACCTCGCACTCTTTCTTACCGTTGCCTCGTCGAACAACTCCTTACACTGACAGCATTATCTTCCATTCGGAGTGTTTAGTCGTCGTTTCCTTGCGTGTCACTATCGTCGGTAAGATCGCTCACCCCCAGTTACCGGAGTATATCAAAGATTGTATCCGACACGAAACATATTCCCAAATCCACGGTATTCGTCAATTGCATCATTCCCTCTCATATTCCCTCTCCAGACTCATCGGGTCGATAGAATCTAACCGAATCGGGCTATTCGAACCGGGCTTCGTCGGTCCAGCCCCACGGGTCATGGTGGAAGACGAGCCGGTGATGGATAATAGAGATTGGGAATTGTTACCTGGTTTAATGGGACGATTGAAATTGAGAGAAATCACAGCTTTGGGTCCGGAGGTAGATAAGCATTGGGCTAAAGCTTGGTTGAATTTGTATGCTGCTTTGAATGAAACAGGGGAGAAGGAAGTGAAGGGGGTTGCCAATGATGTACCCTCGGTACGTTGTGTTTTGTTTTACCAATCCTCTGATATACCATTATCTTCCTTCATCTTTGCTTATTTTCGGAAGTGTCCAGATAATCTTTCAAGTCTTCTTACTCTCTCGCGCATCTTCATGATCCGCATAGGCACTTCACTTCGCACCCGTCTCGCGACAGGGCGTCTTCTGGGGTATGGAGTAGTGAGATGGTGTCTTCACCAGACAAGAAATGGGATAGACTAGTCTGACCTTTCAGATGACAGAATGCGAATCATCTCTATACAAATCTTCCCGATCCTTGATAGACCATGTCAACTCGGTACTCTTACCCCCCAACACCCGACTACCTATTTCGGAATCAGATCCTCTTATCGAACCTGTTCCCCTGGAGAGGATCTTCGTAGGTGAGTAAACTACTTCCTTGCTTCTCACCCTTCTTACATGTGTTTCTACATGTCATATATATCATGCAAATCGCATCTCTGCTCTCAGCTCGGCTGTGGGTGATCTACTGGCTCAGCTAACGTACTAGCAAACTTCGGATTTTGTCTTGCTAGAACTACTTCGAGATGGCATTTCCTCCACGCTGTCGGGTGTTTGGCAGAGGTACGTCGCAAACCACATTTACCATACTTGCCTCTTCTTAAAACTTTCATCCCTGCCTGGGGCTCTAACTCCTCCGGTCCCCTCCCCCCTACCTCCCTCATCCCACTGAACTTGCTTTCAATGAGGTTCAAATGCCACAGCGCAAGATGAGTCGAATGGCTCTGACAAAGCTTCCTCCAGCCGTCAGCTACTTGGAGTCGGATAGAATGGGCAGGGGTGAAAAATTGTGCTGACCAGATAGCTGTACCATATATTTCTCCGTATACAACGAAAAGTCTCTGCTATCCCCGTGTCAAAGGGTAAAAAGAAGACATCACCCATTTCCACCTTATCTGAAGAGCTCAATGCTTTGAAAAGAGATTATGATATCCGTCTTGGACCCGTTGTCAAGTTGATGAATGAATTGGTAGAGGAAGAAGAAGATTTATACGTACATCCTTTTTTCAAGGTCAGTCTTTCTTCCCAATCATCACGTCTTTGTATACTCATGTTCAATTGGTTTGTTCTCCTCACCGTGGAGGAGAGGTCGTTGTAAGGATGATGACTGATGAATAGGGAGAAGAAGTTCATGTGGCTCGTATGACTTTGGAGAACATTCGAACCCATCGTAAAGAGGCTTTGATAAATGCGAAGAAGTTACTTCTCAAATGAGATTTTCCATTTATGATGGAAGCCAGGTGATGCATGAGGTATGGTTCATCATCGGTGCATGACCGTCGAAGGTACGAAGATGAGTTAGATGAGGGTTGACATATGTATGTACGTACTTTGCATGAGCATGGATGAACGTTATCACAACTTAATCTATGACCCATGACCATGTTAAAGTATTTTGGCAAGTCGACCCTTTTCGATGAGTGTCGCAGATCGCAGAGCAATTCGTGCACATGTTAGGGGTGACACATGCTCGTCCATCGTCAACCTATGAGTCCGGACTGTCAAGGGATCAATCTACCGAGTATCCCAAGCGTTCGACTAGAGCGGAGGTGAATCGTTCAGACTTAAAAAAACAATTTTGTCTGCGGGATATCATGATCGAACGGCTGAAGCGTATCTCGGAAGTCAGCTCAACCCTTCCCCCCTTTCTTTCTTTCTTTCTTTATTTCTCTCTTTCATAGAAAAACCCTTTGAACCTTTTTTAAAAGAAGTAAGGAAGAAAGGCCCGACAAAAAAGAAACGAAAAGAAGATCGAATATATACAACTCACTCTTTCATCTTTTCCAAATCATCTTCATCTAAATCACTAACGTTTTCCCATAATTGATCAAATTCAACATTTAAAGGATCCATTCCCTTCGTTCTATCCTTTTCTTCAACTTCTTCTTTTCCCGATATACCTCCTTCTATTCTTATCTTACGCTCTACTGACGAAGATGTATGTCCACTACCACCGCCACTGCTGGAACTTGAGTTCACGTTGCGAGTATCAGAAGAAGAAGAAGGATGAGGAGGTGGAGGAGGTGGAGGAGGGGCCATATTACCTCTTCTACCTGTTGAAGGTGATGCTGGTGTGAAAGGTGATGGAGTTGGAGAAGGTTTGGTAGTGTTACGTAGTGGTGGGATTGGTAATATCCATATACGTTCTCTTAGACGTTTATGCTGTCTTGTCAGTATTCTTCATAGTGAGGTTGTCACGTTTGTAGATTCTACAAGATTGATGGGGAGATGAAAGATAGAGATGAGAGATGAGAGATGAGAGATGAGAGATGAGAGATGAGGGATGGGGGATGGGGGATGAGGGATGAGAGATGAGAGATGAGAGATGAGAGATGAGGGATGAGAGATGAGGGATGAAAGATGAGAGATGAGAGATGAGAGATGAGAGATGAGAGATGAGAGATGAGAGATAAGAGATGAGAGATAGAGATGAATAGAGAGAGAGATAGAGAGGCGAGTGGAGAGAGAAAGAGGGAAGTTAAAGCCGGAACTAAAGTATCAAGTGGGAAAAAGGGAAAAGTCGAATTGCTGTAAAACGTCAATCTCTCCCGGAGAGGGTAGAGGTTCAAGACCAAGGCCATCAGAAAGGTGAAGGCCGAATCGTTTGGAGGAACAGCAAGGATTGAGAGGTTCTGAATGTTGAAATGGGTAGAGAAAGACATAAAGGGGGAAGAAGAATGAACATTACAGACAAAAAAAAAAAAAAACACCAACTCTTTCTCTATCTTCCTCCATTCTTCTCAAAATATCATTCTTTGAAAAAGCTTGTTCATGTGATCGTTTCTTTTCTTCAATCTCTACAAACCTATGCTTTTCTAATTTCTCTAATGAAGCATCTATGATATTGGGATCTAAGATTCTTCGAAGACGCCATGATTCGAGGATCTGAATATCAATATTTCGAATTGTTTCACTTCACTTCATTTTCAACTTTATACACATTTCTCTCTTCCCAGTAAGACTAATCAGCGCTGAGCGTGAATGAGAATGCGGTCCAGATACAGATACAGATTCTTTCATTCCCAATCATATATCATGAGATTTGTCCATGAGTCATTGTCCATGAGCCGTTGTCCATGAGTCACTGTATGAAACAACATCTGGTCTGAAAAGAGACGTCTTTTGAGTGATTACTTCCCATCGTGAGGAATGAGGATGTCAATGGATGAGAATCTCAATGGATGGAAATCATCTTACAAGGGCTGATGGATGACTCACTTGCTTAGCAGCTTTTAAATTCAAGATACCTTCTCTAGTAGCAGGAACGACATTTTCAACTACTCTACTTAAATCCTCAGAAACGTGTTTGAGATAAGGTGCGTCAGGTGGTCCTATAGAAAGACAAGCGTCGAAAAGAGAGTCTAGTAGGTAAAGAATATTGATACGAGTATTGAGAGAAGCCTATGAATCAGCAATTCATTTCATCCCGACAGTAGAGTACTCGTACTCGAGTGATTTGGAAAGGTCAAATTATAGATTCTAGAGTTTGGGATGAGGGCGAAAGATAATCTATCTTCTCATAAACCCCATAAATCCGCCATTCACACAAAAAAAAGCATAGGGACAAGAAGAGATCATGAGCAATAAAGGAAATAGTAGAACTACAGAATACCTTGAATAAATCGATGATGGAATAGATAGATGGATATCTTAGTAAAGTATGAAAAGAGAAACCCGGTGACGGACTCACCTTGGAACATTCTTCCATAACACATTCCCATAAATCTTCCCCACATCTAGATCCATACTTTACTGCGAACCCAACTACTTTATGTATACTCTGTTGTGAAGCGTTCAATCTTTTTAACAATTGTAAGAATTGAATTCGGATTTCGAATGGATCGAAAGACATTGTTTTCGCAAGTAAGTTATGTTATGTCACTTTGTGTCTTCCGTCTTTACCAATGGTATGGTATGAACAGCCGTCGTATGAGTTGACGATGTAGACGATGTAGACGATTGAGTGTTGGTTCTGTGTTTCGGCTTTGTGACTTTCTGTTTCTAGTCAGCGATGATGAAATATGGAGATGGAGATGGAGAGGAAGATGTAACTCACTGGATCACTGGAAGAAATGGAGAAACAAACCTGACGAGTTGAAGTACAAATGCTAAAAGTTGAAATGTCAAATTCAGAAAGTGACATCGTACTCAACTGAAGCAAATGTTGTGAAACATCGATCATGATTATCTCAAGTGTAGTTATAGATGCCAAGTCAAAGTTTGAAATGTATACGATAGAGATAAGGTATGAGTAGAAGATGGGTTCAAAATTCAAAGTGATATGCATAAATCAAGCTCTTCTCCAACGTTTCTTCTCTATCCTATCGCTGACTTCCAAATGCAATTCTCTCCCCCTCATTGTTGTTCTCGACAACCCACTCCCTTCTCTTTCCCACCATCTACTCCCACTCATCTCCCCACCTCCTTCATCCCCGCCCACCAAATCCACACCATCCCGAGTAACCACCGACTCTGTTCTCATACTTCCCCGAGACACACTTTCCGTGGTTCGATCCAGTCGGAATGAACCATTGTCCACATCCGATGAGACTCTCTCAATCCCGCTCAGACCTAGAGGACACCACTTCAAATGTTCACTGACCAAATCAAACGTTCTACCTTGTGAAAAAACCCACAATCCTACTCGACGGGTACAGATCCTACACCAGACCATATCAGACGGTGGGGCACTGGGATTGGCTATAGGGGGTGAATTGGGGGAATAGGGATACCAACCGAATAGGGACATAGCTGCTGCTAAAGGGGTGATGGAGGTGTTTGAGGGTTTTGATGGATGGGGTTGAGGGTTTGGAGTTTGTTCTGCAAGAGGGTTTGTAGACGTGGTTACAATAGAGGAAGGGGAGGGGGAACGGATTGGTAATGGTGAAGAAGGGGAAGACGGTGGTGGTGATGAAGAAGATGTTGAGGAGGAAGATGACTGATGGTGCAGGAGTGTAGATGTGAGAACCAAGAGTTGTTTTTCCCCCTTCACATCAACAACAAGTATTGTGATTCGGTTGAAGACTCACAAGAGGACAAGTCCATTGGATACCGGACGAAAGACATGTTTGTATATGCGAGGCTAAAGGGACAAGACTAGAGGAGAGTAAGGGATGAAGTAATCGTCGTATCTGCCCATGCATAGCCACTACCATGAGCTTTCTTTCTCTGGATATTTCGCGATCAGAGTCCAAGTTGACGAACAACAGCATGGATATCCGAGCCAAGTCATAATGACAAGAACAAGCAGCTTCACAGTGAAACTTCGTGCGGGACAAGCAGCAGGGATGGGAAACCTCAGACCCTAACGAGCGAAATGGGACAGAGAGACGAGGTAAGAACATGAGAGGTTCCGAACTCACTAGGACTACTCATATACCTCCACCCACATCCTCTCTTATGTCTCTCACTCAGCCCTTTTGCCAATCTCCTCACAACCTCCCTCCTAATTCTATCATCCGCAATCTCCTCCACACCTTTAAGATCCCACACCATCCCACATTGTTGGCATTTCACACTGTGCAGAGTATCCGCCGTCCAGCCTCTCAAACTGAAATTCAACGAGTCGAGAGGGGAAGTGTCGATGGAAAATGTTGACGGGGTGAATGTTCTCAATCGGGCAAGAAGGGCCAGAGGAGAGAAAGGGAGAAAGCTGGTAGGTGGGAGTTGAGGTGGAATTTGGGTGCTGAGGTAGATTGTCGGTGAGCGTGGAGGAGGGGAGGGGTAAATATGAGTTTGTGGGTGGGATGGGTACAGGAGGGTATCAATTTGAGAGAAGAGACGTTTCTTGTGGGTTAGTAAGGAACATATGATCGTGTCGCAAAGGACAGACTGACTTTGGTGTATCTCTCAGAAGGGGGTGAGAGGGTATGCTCGACAATTTCAATTTCGGGAGGTTCCTCCTGAACATCAGTTACCAGACAATCCTTGAGGGTGAAGGCCTCTGTCGGATATACCGCTAGATATACTTTATATATATGACTGACAGGATGGAGGTGGGAACAGGAGCGAGGACTTGGGGAGTTGGACTTACCTCTGAGATGGATTCCCAGTCTGCATCATCATACATCAACTTGAACACATCTCTCAGATCGTCCTCCCCATCATCGCTCATTTCTGAGTTGTCTGTCGACTCGTGAGTGACGGTTGGGGTTATCTCATTTGTACTTGGTATCAGACTGGACATTGGTGGTGGTTGGTAGTTTCAGACGGGAGGGGGAGGATGCTGTAGGGATAGGCCCGCGGAGCCTTTAAGACCTAACACAGGCCCACAGCCGGGGGATACAGTGGTATAGTGAAGAAGAGATGCAAGGGGTGATTAGTATTTTAGATTACCTAGTAATAAGGATCATTAGGATTAAGTTTTGAAAATCCTAATACTTGAGGTTTTGCTTCCGCTAATAACCCAATTTCCCCATTTGGACCTGGGACGCGTCGTTGCCAAGTTGACCAAAAAGTCGACGTCTTTCTCCAACGAGACTACTATATCACCACTACTCCTCCTCCCTACTACCACCTCATGATTAGTATTCTTCCCTTTTGATATCCTGATATCACTCTATACCATGTCATACCTCGATCCGAGAGAACTGAACCAGCTGGCGGCATTGGCTGCAAGAGGTGGAATAGGAGAAGCCATAGCGTTAGTCCTTCCTCACCCCGTCTCTCTCCCCTCTTCATCCTTTCCCCATATGTTAACATTCCCCCCTCGCCCCGCTTCTTACTCGACCAAACCTTTACTAGTAGCTGAATACCGTGGAGAAGGGGGGTATAAGAGGATAGGAGTTACATGTGGCGAGATGAGACAGAGTGTAAGATATTGACTGACCCAAAACAGTCTTGTAGATTGTGTCGCTGAAGCGCCCGATCAGTTGATGTACATCAAAAACGATACTCTCGTCCTTCTTCGTGACTTGGGAGATATCCTATTGGCTTCTTGTGAAGGTGTAGTAGGATGGGCTAGAAAAGATGGTTTACGAATACTTTCTTTAGCTGGATCAACTTCTATATCACCTGATCATCCTACTGGTTTAAGGACGGTAGTGGTTTCACCATCTCCACCAACCAATCATATTCATCTTCCACAACTTGACGACCATATCTCTTCTCCTGTTCCCCTCGCGAATCCATCACCTCCTCATGTCAAGCCTACGAATCTTGAAGGCGCCTTTCATCACAGCCCTCACGATGTCAACCCGGGAACGACGGATGCTCTTAAACCCACCCCCGAGTCTAAGAGATTTCGTCGAGAGGAACACGTCGATCATGATTTATTGGAACTTGATATCCCTAATAGATCTCCTCATCGTGCTTCCGGTCCGTTCGACTTGGAATCACCTTTATATTCCCCTTCGGTCCATAGTCCTCAATATCATCGGGGAGCGGAGGCCGATGGATATTTTGGAGTGAAGAATCACCCTTCATACAATGACATCTCTGACCCCGCTATGATCCGAGAGCGAAACAATAAGGAAGTAGCGGGACACCAAGTCACGAGGAATCCAAGAAATCGTGACTCGACTTTCTCGTCCGCAAGTAGCGACGCATTGGGTGGGATAGGAGGTTTCATGATGGCTTCGAGGGGTGATTCAGAAGATGATCATGATTCTCAATTTGAAGAACTCCAAGGTGAGCTAATTTGATCGCAATGTATAGCTGATATATCCAAGACACACATACTTCACAAACATCTCATATGAGTGCGTCTTATCGCCATAACCCTCAGTCTGTCAGATCAACCACGACTTCTCCTTCAGATGAGGAAAGTGATAAATCACAAGATTGGGATATATATGATGATTACGCTAGGGAAAGTATGTATATCAGAAGACAAAGTATGGGGAAACGTGCGACTTTACAACCCAACGGGAAAGAAATCACTTTTCACGCTTTAGAAGCTTTGAGGAATCTCCCAGATCCCGAGAATGTTCAAGAATCTCGTAATATCGATACGCCACCTCGACCACCTAGGAGGAAACCGGTGGGTGTTGAAATGAATGGTCCTGATAGACCTGTCAGCTCGGACAGGCATTCGGAGAATGGGTTCAATGATCAACACGTCGATGGAGGAACATCAGAGGAGATGATTGGTAAACTGGATGGAGGACATGCACAGATGGGGGACCTACACAGTGGAGAACATAGACCGTTGAGTTCAATCAGTATCAACAGTCTTGATCTCCCGGAAGAAGAAGTGGAGGATGATATGGGATTGGCTGAAGATCAATTGGTAGCGGAGTTGCTAAGGATGAGAGTCAGAAGACAAATGTCTAGGGATGATACATATCTCAAACCGGAGGCGGTCGCATCAGAGGAGATACCTCCAATTCCTTCGTTGGAAATTGAAATTACCCCTCCTCATATCAATCTGCCAGAAGCAGAGATCGTACGAGAGGGCGAGGATCAGCTGGAGGATGTCGACCAATCTGCCAACTCTCAACAAACTCCCGAATCGCTCAAATCCGAGTCCCCCCGTGCTCCAGGCAAAAACGAAGTGATGAGAGGACATCTACGGATAATCACCGACGAACCAACTTCGATCGACGATGAGATTTCGCCCCCTGAACGGGCTGAACTTACCCGGCATCATCCACCAGACGACGCCAAAATCGTCACGTCGCTCTCCAGTCCAGCCGATAACGTGACTGTGGAGCACTCTATGGTGAGGGTGCATTCACAAGAGTCCCCTGTGGATTTCGAACAAATCGACGTGTCTCCCGGTGGCAACGATTCTATTACCTCCCCATTCCCAGATGGTGATGACTCTATCCCATCTCGATCCCCAGACGGTAATGAAGAATCAGATCAATCTACCATCTTGGAAACCCCTCATGCGACAAGTGACGAATATTTGACTCGTACTCCCGTTATCGCCCCTTCAACTTCAACATCAGAGTCTTTCTCTCAAAATGAAATCTCCGCCACTAGCACTGTGGAATCATTCTCGAAGAATGAACTTGATCACTCCTCTGGTCTCTTACCATCTCCCATGCCTCTTGTACATTCCAAGCTGTCCCCTAGTATTGACATACATCTATCTCCTCCACTGGACTCGGACATCTCATCGAGCGACTTACCCCATCCCGATCCTCAACATATCCTCTCCACTGGTTCACCCCACTACCGGGCGGTTTTACCAACTTTGGATGCATCTCCGAACCACCATCTTTCTCCGAAAGTAGATCGGACACCGAACGCACATCTCTCTCCGAATCTAGATCCCAACGTGACGCCACTGTTGTCAGCCAACCCCTCCCCTTCTCCTGGTCATCGCCCCTGGTCCCCTAACTCGTCTTCGCCAAGTAGCATCACAGCTACCCGACATGCCGTCCAAGCTCATCGATCAGCTTCCACACCAGGAATGACGTTGGTAGGTCGGATCGAAGCTGATTTATCTACTTCCAGAGGTCCTGTTCCCATCACTTTTTTAGTAGGAGGAGCAGGAATGCCTTCTGCTTTACCTACCGGATTAGGCTTGGGATTACCATCTACTTCAAATGGACAAAGTAAGGGTTCTGGACATGGATCTAGAGATGGACATACACATACACATACTGCTGATCTTGGAAGAGCTACGAGTCCTAGTCCTCTAGGAGACGATTTGTTGATGATGTCGGATCAATCTAGATTCCCTATGCCACAGAGGAGTCTTACTTCTCCTATTCCTGTACCTGTTCCACGACGAAGTGCTACCTCTCCTATCCCGATATCGGATGTTCGACCATCTGTGACTTTGGTGAACCATTCGACGACATCTTCCGCGCAGAGGAATGATCTTTCCGATTCTGTATCAGGAGAGAATGTCACCTCACCTGGTTCTTCACAAACGAAAGGTACTACACCTAGATCTGTTCCACGTAGAAGTGCAACTTCTCCAATCCCTAGATCTGATTTAAAATCCCCGCCAGTGTCAACACCTCAATCGCATTCCTTCGTTACTCCAACTTTACCGAATAGGAATATCAGTCAAAACACTTCAACGATTGCATTACCACCTAGAACAACCAGTCATACCACTTCCACACCAGTACAATCCTTGCCGAGGCAGAACATTCCAATTTCGTCCGATCAGAAATCTCAAGTTATCGCAACACCAACTACGTTACCTCCTCGAAATACAAGTCGGTCCGTTTCTACACCTATTACACCTGTTAACAATCGCCCTCGGGCTAGATCATTCTCCGCAGCAGTAGCAAAAGCAGTAGGTAAAGTGAAAAGAGATCATACATCTCCATCCACAAAAAATACTCAAATCGTACCTCCAATACCTACCACGTTACAAACCCCTCTTTCATTACCTACCCAAGGAAAGAAAAGTTTGTTCGGGAAAAAAGAATCAAGTCATCCTCCTCTACCTTCTCCTATCACATCTTCCAACCCAACATCTCAAAATGTAACTATCGATGTCGGGCCTATACCTATTCCATCACCTAGCGTAACTATAACACACACACAAGATGAGAATCCTTCAACTAAAAACGATGCCTTCACTCCACCTCTTCCTAATTCATCACCTCAACTATTAGATTCTCCTTTCATAACTAAACCTTCAAATCCAGGAAATCGTACTTCTCCACGTAAACGTCCTACACCCATTTCGAAAACGTCCACATCGGCAATCTCAACATTCTCCAATTCTTCATTCCAACCACCACCATCATCAACTTCTACGTTCTTCTCAAACGAATCTTCAAATTCATTACCACCTCCATCTGCCAGATCATCAAGTTTTTCATTTTCTTCAAAATCTTCTAGAACACCAAGAAAAAGTGTCAGAGCTTTGCCGAGTCCTGTTTCGTACAAAGATTTCGAAGATACTGTTAAAGAAAATGGAATGGATTTTGAGTTGGTTCAACCTAAAAAGGGGTTGTCTGGAAGTAATTCTGAACCTGATTTTTCGTCGAATCTAGTTGGTTCGACTTCTTTTGATCAGTTGGATCGACACATCTCTCCAAATAATCTTCACCTTGGAACGAGTTCTCATCTTGCGGCTCAAAATTCAAATCCTTCCTCTCAAGGCCAACATCATCTCACTCAGACTCCTCAACACTCTGGTCATTCCTCTTCGCAGCAAAATGGTTCATCATCAGGTCCTTCTGGTTCTTCTGGTGACGTTGATGGGAATCACACTCGTCCAGGATTAGAAAGAGCAAATACGATGATAACCATAACGAGTCAAATAAGTAATTTATCACTTCGACTTCGAGACGAAACGGATGAATGGGGGTTTTTAAGAGATAAATCACCTGTTCCTGAAATATTCATGAATCGTTCTTCACCTGATGATCATCGCCAATCCGAGTCTAAATGGTTGACAATAATATCCACCACTTCTTCTCCCTCTTCTTCTTCTCCTTCTTCTTCTTCTTCATCATTCAATTACATATCCGTACCACGTAAAATCCGAAAATTAGTACTTGAAAATGGTATTCCTTCAAGTTTAAGAGGTAGAGTTTGGACATGGTTTCTTTCTTCTCAAATGATAGCTAGAAGAAAAGGATTATATCAAGAATTATTAGAACATGATAAAGGTTTTATCGATCAACAAATAGAATACGATATTAAAAAAGCTTTTCCTGATCATTCTCTTTTCTCCGAATCGACTTCAGACGGAATGATAGATTTGAGAAATATCTTGAGAGCAACTTCTACCTTTTCAAATTATAAACCTCAATTATCTTTGTTGGGTGGAATGTTTTTAATACATTGTGTGGCTGAAGAAGCTTTTTGGTTATTACAAGCTTTTGTCAATGGGGTTTTAAAAGATTGTTATTCTAAAGAAAAATCAGGTTTGAAAGGTGATATAATGGTTTTTGAAATCGTTTTGAATGGTAGTGAAGTTGGTTTAGCTGGGTTGTTTAAGGAAATAGGATTGGAACGTGAGTTTATTTTTCAACTTGAGGCGTATCTTTTTCCTTCTTCCAATATTGTTTTATCATGTGTGAAACCATCATCCTTTTACTTCTTCCCTTCCCCTTGACTATCTCTACGGCCTAGTCATTCATCATTTCCCAGGTCGGTCAATCGTCTTTCCTTCCGGAAGATTGATCACTCGATAAAGGATGTGTGTGATACTCGTCACTCTATCACATGACATGTTGAACACTTGTCACTCTATCACGCGACATGTTGAACACTTGTCACTCCATCACACGACATGTTTGATACTTGTCAATCTACAACGTGACCCGGGAAAATGACTGTTCCTTTCAAATGCCCGACATGTGAAAATTCAATGTCGATCACGCTAACACCCAGCCATCATGTTCCTAGAAAAATGGTATACTCAAATATTCATCCGATGTCTACCATGGCCAACTACATTACGTATAATAGACGCAGTCGTCTGTGAAGGTCCAAGGTTTTTGTTAATCTCAGCACTCACCATCCTCACCCTTTCTCGAGATAGAATCATGAGTTTACCCAAGAGGAAACAAGACGTTTTAGATTATTTGAATGATTTACCACAAGATTCTTTGTTCTTACCTGAAACATTTATGAAAGCTTGTGATATGGTAAAGTTTAAGGAAGAAGATTGGAGGAGGTTGAGAGTTGGGGTGGAAAAGGAGATTAATGGGGTTTGAATTGTCATCTTTCTTATCTTTCAAGTCATTTTCTATCATAAAATCACCAGTATTACTGTCTTTGTTCGACATACAGTACGAGTGTCACTACAACCATCCTACCCTGGGCGCATCTCATCTACGATACATTACATTACATCTTGTATAATCTTCGAAGACTCATCTGTATATCATACTATGTACATAACTTTGCATCTCACTTTGACATATGCATGTCATTGCTTAATACCCTTTTGTGTTTTTTTGCCCAGAATTTAGGTGGTTCTATAGATAGAACGTGCGTAACGGAATCAAAATTTACTCAAACTTGCCTGCTTCTCCCTCTTTTCCTCACCACCACTAAGTACTACTACTCTCTATCACCACCACTACTTATCCATGTGAACCACCTATATTATATCGTCTACTATCTCTGGTGGTTCTCGACCTTCATTACGTCACCAAATTGGAGGTATCACTAATCGACGGAATTCATGACTCCTCACTCGACTCTGTCCCTTTTGGTCCCTTCTACCCCAAGATTGCAGGACGGGAGATGCAGTGGACATCGGGTTGATTTTCAAGGGAAAAACTTCCAAGGACTATTCAAGACTCCCTTGAGAGATTCTTCACTTAACTAGTCTGATTCAAGTGGACGACGGTTGAACCCTCGTCGACATCCGAATTCAAGATCAACCCGTCTAATAATGACCCACAACACATCGCCTTGCCCTTCCACCACTCCCTCCATCCTCCCATTACCTATCCCTTCCACCATCCCACCTCCTTCTTCTCTCCCTGGTGGACATACTTCTCCCGATTCTGGATTCCCTATGCCTCGAATTGATACATCTCTACAGTCTCAGAGTTCTCAAGATGCACGAAATGAGGTGACTAAGGATGTCAATGCTTCCAACTCAACCCACCTCAACACTACTTCACATACCTACCCTCCTCATCCTCACCCCACTCACACAGCCTCTCTTGGCATTTCCGAACATCCCTCCAATCTATCCGCTTCACACAATCCTCCTCCACCCATCCTCACTCACTCTCCCATCCTCAATGTCCAACCTGAATTCGCGGAACTTCTCACCCCACTTCGACTCCGACGTAAACGTCGTCATCGACCTCCTTCCCATCATCCTAATCCAGATCTTACCAATAATTTCAACATAGATGACTCACACACCATCCATCCACCTGGTCCTTCTAAACAAGGTTGGTACACCGATACTGGAGATTTATACAGAGGAGCAACCTCTGATCCATTTTCAAACCCCACACTACCCCCAGCTCCCTACATGACCGATGACGACGCTATCACATTCGGTTCTTCTTCTTCTTCTTCTTCTTCCGCCTCATGGGCTTCAGGATTAGAAAGAGGACGTAAAGCCACCATGGCAGTTATTGGTAGAGTTGGAGAAGTTATAGGTGTTAGACGTGCTTCTTCAACAGACTCTCATGATTCTAGAAAAAGAAAGAGAATGTCAATGTCAGTTTCTAGAATGATAACAAGAAGTACTAGTGCTTCTACTGAAGACGAAAAACCTAAAAGGGAATATAAAACTAGGAAAAGAGGTTTCGTTTTGTTGTTACCTCCTCCTCCAGGACAAGAAGATAGGGGTTTGGGATTCCCTGTTACATCAGGAGATGAGAATCCCAGTGAGATGGATAACAATGAGAAAGGAGGATATCCGCCAGAGAGGGTCATCGTCTCTGTATCTCTACAAGAGGTTATGGGACGTATTAGGACTTTGAGGGAGAATTGGGAATTCTCAAAGATCCAGTCAGGGATATCGGTGGCCGATACGGACTTGGCGGACAGAAGAGAGAGGGGAAGAGGAAGAGGAGCGAATTCAGAAGAGACGAGAGGTAAAGGGAGTAAACCAAGACATCAATCTGAACAAGGTAGAGATATAAGGAATGATGAGATGAGAGGAAGAGGGGAGAGAACAACACCATTTATAAATCCTATGAACCGAGGAGCTGGATCAGGTAGAGGAATGCCTCGAGTTCAAATATTGAAAGAAGAAAGTATGATCAGACCTAAGAGCGTTTCGGATCTTATGGGATTACCAAGGTCCACTTCTGCTTCCACATCAAGTCTGAGGTCTTTGAGGGATGAACCGAATATAGGATATGCAGGGAATTCAAGGGTCATACGAACGGAATATTCAATACCAACACAACAACCTTTTCAACGTTCATCTCTTATCAATGCGAATCATCAAAACTCAAGAATGGAATCTCAAGCGAGATCAGGGATCTCAAATCGAACAACACATCAAAAAACCGATATGGTGAAGAAACATCGATCTAAAGGATGTTGGTGGTTAGACGTTTCTTGTCCTACATGGCAAGATCTTCGAGATCTAGGTGAATTATTATCTATTCATCCTCTCACTTTGGAAGATGTATTACAACAAGATCCAAGGGAGAAACTTGATACTTTTCAAAGATTAGGATATTATTTCGTTGTTGTCAGAGCGTTAGATGAAGGTTATTTCAAATATACACCAGGAGGAGGAAGTTCGACAAGTGTAGCGAGTTCTAATACTATGGTTAATCCTCAAGATCTTACTTCTCAACAATTAACCGAGAAAGTCGATTCGTCTCATCCTATTTCACAGCCCGAGGTGAAGGACGAGAAGGTCCCTTCAATCCGGATGATGGCGAATTCTGAACAAAAGACCGAGGTGAATAATCCTATATGTCAAACCAATACCTCATCAAACCCTCAATCTGAGTTACAGGGAGAACAATCGGGTGGTAATTTCGTACCAGAGGAGAAAGATTATCATGACGTAGAGACAAACAGAAAGAAGTCTTCTGGGCAATATGACATTTCACCACATTCAGAAGAATTGAGGAAGGCCAAAATGGATGATGAGAAACAAGGTCCAAGAGAGAGAATAGAAGATACAGAAGTTAAGAAAGAAGGTAGGAGAAGAGGTTGGGGTATGGGAAGGAGTTTAAAGACTGGTATTAAAACTAATTCATCTGGTGAAAAAGTAGAGATCATAGAGGATAATCCGGGGAAAGAAGGTTTAGAAGGTCTTGGTGTGGGTGGATTAAACGTTTATTTGGTCGTTTTTGCAGATGGGATCGTTAGTGTGAGTTGGGTGTTTTTTCTTGGTTTACATATTATATTCTTCCTCTTTACTACCCATCTCGATTTACCGTCCTGTCAATCTCATCACGTTCATCTCTCTCATCTCTCTCATCTCTCTCATTACTTTGACCCCTTTTATCACTTTTATCACTTCTGTCACATCTCTTCCCACGGTCTGCTTACGCAAAGAGGGGAAGGACCGATGTCATGTCTTGTTACCCTCTGCTCGTGACGTCGCGCAGTCCACCATTCCTCCCTCCCAATTCAACCTTCCTGCGTACATACGGGATCCCGTCCTGGGAGGGGCCAAAGAGCGGTATCACCCCTCGGAGCGGACCCAAGCTCAGTCCCTACCACCACTCCACTGACAAACAGTTCCACAACGATGACATCTCCAAACATACCAAACGAGTTCTAGACCGAGTCCTCTCCCTCGCCTCGGAAGAACATGGTTCCGATTGGATAGCTCATGGTTTACTCGATTCGATAGTAGACGCTTTCTTCCCTCTTGTGAGATACGTAGATGGAGAAGTTGACGAAATTGATTCTTTGACCATTGATCCTTCAACAGATCCACGTAATCTTCATCGTAATCTTCATTTACCAGCAGAATCAGAAACTACTTTGATTCCTTCTTCCCCAACGTTAAATAAATATCCAAACCCTGTCGATCCTATCATCTTGAAACCTTCTTCTTTCATACATGCCCCAATGTCATTCCTTCATACCCACGTCACCTCAAAATTCACTCCCAAAACTGCCCACTTCTCACTACATCCTTCGAAGCAACTACACAAGAAAACAAGATACGACGACAACTCACGGGATTATGGCAATGAACAAATGACAAAGGGGCAGGGAGAAACACAATTTGGACTAAAAGTCAAATTGGTTTTCACTTACTTACGTCTTTTCTTTCTTCCCACTTCATCAGCCACAAGACCGAAACATGAAAAAATCGCTCAGGCCGTATATGACAGAAGTACGATGTTGAGGAGGATTATGGATACAAGGAGGTTGGTCACTGGATTGAGTAGGTTATTGGGGGCGAAACATCAGGTGATTGGTAAATTGAGGAAAAGAGCTACGGAGAGTGGTGGAGGTGTTGAAGCGTATATTGGGGATGTGGAGGGTGAGTTGGATTTGTGTACTTGTCCATTTCCCCCTCATTCTTCTCCCCGCTACCGGCCTATCACACTTACACCCACCCGTGCACGCGCTCTCGCCCTTGGACCTTGATGATATACTTTCTTTCACGGAAGAATGCGACGTAGGGGTTTCGAAAAAACCCAGTCAAAAATCGGTCAGATTCTGGGGCTGTTATTGCGGGAATGTGTGGAATCCATCACTAACTCTCAGACCACGTACTCTTGCTACAAACCTCTTTGAATCACTACGAAGCCATTTTATCTCATTGTCAACCTGCCTACTTATCACAATTACGTGTATCTTTTGCCTTCGCTCGAGGAGGAACGGACCAAGCTATCCTTGCTTTGTCCACGGTTTCAATGTCCATCCTACCGATGATGTTGGTAATTGGTGAGTTGAGTTTTCTTTCATGTTGCTAAGCTTCCTCTCCGTGCCTCATATTTATCCTTGTTTGGAAAAACTCCCACCTTCGCTCACTCCATTTACCTATCTCTGCTTTGCACCATTCATCCGTCCTACTCATTCTCACTTTCTCCTTCAACTCGTCCACATCCCTCATCCTGCCATCTCCGTTTTGACACCATGCAAGAACGAGACCATAAAACTCATCCCAGGCGCATTCTCAATGAACATTCACGTACCTCGTAATGGAAGTCTTGCTTCACCTCACCGAGAACCAGACGGCTCTATTGCACCTTACAACGTATTCGCCTGCGTCGTAGTTGCCATCTTCCTCATTGGTTGTGCGATGGTGTACAGA